AACATAATAAAAACATAATACAACATAATCAAACATGATAAAGCAAAATACAACATAATAAAACATAATACAACATAATAAAAACATAATACAATATAATCAAACATAATAAAATCATAATACAACATAATAAAACATAATACAACATAATAAAAACACAATACAACATAATCAAACATAATAAAAACATAATACAACATAATCAAAAACATAATACAACATAATACAACATAATCAAACATAATATAACATAATAAAACATAATACAACATAATACAACATAATAAAGACAATACAACATAATAAAACATAATACAACATAATAATAACATAATACAACATAATATAACATAATACAACATGATAAAACATAGTAAAAACATAATACAATATAATAAAACATAATACAACATAATCAAAAACATAATGCATCATAATCAAAAACATAATACAACATAATACAACATAATACAACGCTCCATGTTTCGGACTCAGCGTGTGGTGTTCTCTCTCTTTAGGCCGTGCCGATGTGGCAGATGTTGCCAGCAGCTGGAACCGCTGCAGAGGAGAAGCGCATGTTGATTTCCAGCAAGCATTCAAAAGTTGATGTCAATTATCATGTGATTTTATGTTGCTGTGCAGTTTAGTCAGGAACCTTGGATGTCGAATTTCAACTCGTAGCATTTTCCTTTGCCAATTCTTTCTAGGTTGCATTCGTTTTAATTTCTCTTTCACGTGTGAATTTAATCTTTTCTTTTTCTCGTTTGAAAGTGCAGCATGTGACATGGTTGTGAACAAGCCACAAGTGACCTTGAGATTCACCTCGCAGTTGGCCCAGCTCATTTCCGTGAAGGTCAGACACCATGCTGGACTCATGTGCAGACTTCTTTGATAGAGCTGTGAAGCTTGGTGTCACCGACCCCGAGATACAGAACCTCAAGACTCTGGGCTATGACACGTTTGGTAAGCTGGCTTTCGCAGCGAATTTTACTCCTGGTCAGGCTGATGAGTCTCCTTTAGTGCAGTTGGCAAAGGACATCACTGGAGTTGACCCTCCGCCGTTGAACAGGTTGCCAGTGGTGAGACGACTCTTTCTCGAGAGTTACACACTGGCTGCTGCTGATATGCAGCAACGTCTTGAAAGAAAGGATGATTCGGTACCAAGAAAGCTTGCTACGGCCGAAAGGGCCGCCAGATACCATGACCAGGTCCGGCGTTTAGCCGGTCAGGTGAGTTGGAACCGTCCAATGCACTCATCGACTTGGTCTACCACATGACGGAGGAGGACCAACTTCGTTATGTGCGCTGGGAGGAGTGCACGAAGAGGGACCAAGAACTCATGGGGATCAAAAGCGATCCAGTTTGGAAGCAAGATAGCTCAGGGCTGATTCGCGAGACAAAGGTCCAAGCCGAGTTGCAAGCCGAGACTGATACAGACCTGAAGCTTCGACTTGCACTTCAACGCCGGTCCCTTGCTTTCGACCAGGCTAGGCTATGTGATTACAACACCTTCGAACGTTGGACTCAGGTCATGATGGAGGCCTACACCACGAAGCCACCAGATGGATACCTCAAAGTCTCGGTGGAGCAATTGCACCGTGCAGATTTGCAGTTGTTCAAGCAGATGATGAAGGATACAAGGTCTGGAATCAAACCCCTTGGAGGCAACAAGCCGGTGGAAGAGGCCCTTAAACGGGCGATCAATGCTGCCGACGTGCGTCTGTGCCTTCAACCCTTGCAAGGATCCTCGAAGAGAAAAGCTGAGACACAGGAAGATGAGCCCAAGAAAGGCAAGGGCTCCAATGACACTCCGTCCTCAAGAAGACTATCGAGAACTTGCAGGGCCAGGTGAAAAATCTCCACAATGCATCTACGAGCTCGCCCCCTTCAAAGGGAAAGAAGGGCAAAGGGAAAGGACGTGGCAACATGATCAAGTTGCCACCACAACTGATTGGGATGTCCCCTACGACTGCTCAAGGTGAGCCGCTATGCTATGACTACAATTTGAAAGGCTGTTCAAGAGCCAAACAAGGAGAAAAGTGCCAGAAAGGATGGCACTTGTGCATGCGCTGGGGGTGCCAGAAACCTCACCCCCAGACAGAGCACGAGATGCAGTGACAGGATGGCGCCACCTCCCTGCCTGCTCGGGGGGTGAAGCGCAGTTTTCATGATGTCTCGGGTTGCCCTAGCTCGCAGCTGGTTTGCATTGAACTATGTGCGGGCCGAGCCAGGCTGTCCAAGCATCTGCATGGAGCAGGTTTCAGTGTTTTTGCTGTTGATCATTCGAAGAATCGTCACAAACAGCTTTTTCCTACAGTACAACTCGATCTGTCAGGTAATGATTGCGTTGAACAACTTCGAAGCATCATTGGGCATTCCAACTGCACATTTTACATTCACGCTGCTCCGCGGTGTGGAACATGTTCAAGGGCAAGAGCGAAGCGAATCCCGTTTAGGCTGCGTCGACGTGGAGTCCCTGACCCCAAACCTTTGAGGTCAGAGCGTTACCCTGACGGTCTGCCGACGTTGTCCGGGGTGTCATTGCAGCGAGTTCAATTGGCCAATGCTGTGTATGCAAACATTTGTAGAATCCTTGATCTTTTTGAGCATTGTATCATTTCAGTTGAGAACCCGGCTAGAAGTCATATGTGGAATACACGCTGGTTTCGCAAAGCTATTCAACGACATCAATTGTTTCCGATATCTTTTCAGCAGTGCATGCATGGGGGCCTTCGAAACAAATGGACCACGTTCTATGTCAATCACAGTGCCTTCAGCAGCCTTGCATTGACTTGTGACTCTTCCCATGATCACCAACCTTGGGGAGTTACAGGCACACAATCAGGTTGGAAGTTCAATACAGCAGATGAGGCTGAGTACCCTGCTCTACTCTGTGAACGTGTTGCAGCAATCATTGCCAGTGTGGCCAAAAAGCACAGTGTTGTTTTCATTCCACGTGAACTCACTCAGCCTCAACACCACCTGGAACCCAAACGTCGAGCTGCTGAAGCGGGCCGCCAACCCAGGGGCAATTTGCTTCCACAGATCATTTCTGAGTTCAAACAAAAGCTGACGCTGGCGGTGCCTGCCTCTTATGCTCGCGGAGCCCCACGACTGCTGACTGCACAAGAGCAATCTGCCCTGCAACTGCCGTTTACATCCAAGATTTTGTCGATTAAGAAGGGTGAGACCACGACAAGTGTTAATGCAGAAGATACATGTCTTGCTGAAATTGGCATATATAGGACCCCTGATGAGTTTCAACAAGTTGCTGCGGACCTACAACATCCTTTTGATGGTGCTTCAACGGTTCCTGATGATTTGAAACGTGCACTGTTTTGGCTTTTGACGCAGGGAGTGCATGTGGTACAACAAGAACGGGTCAAGCTTTTCGAACATTACAAGATGGCTGCTGATAATCTCGCTGAAGATGAAGCAGCCTTGCACTCTTTGATTGATGCCGACCGTGAAGCCCTTATCCGTGACAAGAAAATCCTTCTCTTTCAACTGATGTGTCGCGATGCTGGAGTGGATGATGAAGGATTGGGTGATTTGATCGCCAGTGGAGTTAAGTTGACTGGACAAGGTGAATACTCTCGGCAATTCGAGGAAGAACTGAAACCGCCGGCCATTTCCAATGTTGATCTCATGAGGTCGTCGAAGTGGACTCGTAGAAAGATATTGGGGCGCAGCAACCTCCATGTTCCGGATAACGTGCGTGAACAAGTCTGGCAAGGAGCACTGGATGAGGCACAGAAGGGGTGGCTCACTGGTCCCCTCACAGAGCTGGAGCTTCGTGAACAGTTGGGACCCATGTTTGTCGTTTCTCGCAGATTTGGCCTGACAAAGTACGGGCAATAGATGACATGTCCGAGAGTTTGGTGAACTCGGCGTATGGCAGTTCCTACAAACTTGATTTGCCAGGTATCGACGGTATATCAACAGCTGCGAGGACCTGGTTGGAATCCATCAGTGATGACCGAGGCGTACAGTTCACACTTTCTGACGGGACTGTTTTGAAGGGACGGTTGCATCATTCATTAACCCTTTCCGATGCACGTTCACTGAGAGGACGGACCTTAGACCTTGATGCCGCCTACAAACAACTGCTGACGGCTAAGTCGTCTCTTTGGTGCGCTGTCCTTGCGGTTGAAGATTTACAAGGTTGCAAGCGATTATTCAAATCCAATGTCATTCCCTTTGGTGCTTCTGCAAGTGTTTATGGATTTAACAAGCTGGCCCGTGCAATATACACGATTGGAGTTCGTCTTTTTGGCTTGGTTTGGAACAACTACTACGATGACTATCCCCAACTAGATATAGCTGCCTCAGGGGATGATGCTCAGGTCACAGCTGAAGCCCTTTTCGATTTGCTGGGCTGGCGTGTGTCTATGAAAGAGAGTAAACGAGTTCCCATGCCTGACACCTTTGAAGCCCTGGGTGTCACTTTTGATTTCACTGCCTCTGAAGATGGTGTGGTGATGGTGCGCAACAAGCCCTCTAGGATTTTGCAAATTTGCTCGGAACTTGATCGAATCTTACATTCTGGTTGCCTATCAATTTCGGAGGCTACATCGCTGCGAGGTAAGCTTCAGTTTGCAGAGACCCACACATTTGGCCGTGTGCTGGCATCGCATTTGCAGATGTTCCACAAGCGTGCCTCGGGACAATTGAGCGACAGTGTTATTTCAGAGACGATGAGGCATGAACTTCTCTGGATACGTGATTTCATGACTGAAGATATACCCCGCAAACTGCTGAGTGGTATGGCTGACTATAAGCTGTGTATATTTACAGATGCTTCACTCGAAGGTTCGGATTCTCATGCTGGTGTGGGCATGGTAGCCTTGTGTGTATGTGGTGGTCAGATTCAACAGAAGTTTTTCTTTTCGGATGTGGTCCCTGCCTGGATCCTCTCCTTGCTGCAATGCCGTACTCCCAAGATCATCTCTACTTTGGAGCTTCTCTCTGCTGTGATGGCGATACATTTACTCGGATAAATTTCAGAACATACGCGTCATGCTCTTTGTAGATAATGAAGCTGCTAGGGCATCCCTGATCTCATTGAAGAGCTCCTTGGAAATCCACCAGTGTTTGCTGAGAAATGTGAGTTTGGCAGTTCGAAGGAGCGGCCTTTACCTTTGGACTGCCCGTGTGCCGTCTTCGAGCAACCCATCGGATGAACCGTCGCGTGAATTGGTTGACAAACTCCTCAATGCAGGATTTTGTCGACTCAGTGTTAGTTGGAACCTAGCTCACGTCCTGACCTCAGAGAAGAAATGTATTTGCTTGCTCCTCATGTTGATTCCAGTTTGCTCCCGCTGTGCATGTCCAAGAGGGGATAAACCAATGCACATACATGTTGATGCTCTCGTGGTGATGTACCACATGAATCATATGTTTGGATTCACTTGTGCATATGTTGATGGTTGTGAACGCGAGGAGATGCGTCGAGGACCTCCCCAGTTATTCAAAAAGGACTGGCCGCAGGTGCAGGACTTTAGTGAGACATCATGGCATGTGAATGAGATAAACAAGAACAGGTTGACAACTTGTTGTCATCCTTCTTTGTTTAGGGAGTGAGCTTGGAGTAAGCATCTTGATGTGAATGCGAACGGCATGATGGCTCATAGGGAGGGTGTGGTAGGGTGAAGTGTGAGATGTTCACACATATGTTCACGAATGCCCACCCATTTGTACCATGTACCCACCCATGTACTTCACCTCTGTTGTCGGGATAAACCAATGCACATACATGTTGATGCTCTCGTGGTGATGTACCACATGAATCATATGTTTGGATTCACTTGTGCATATGTTGATGGTTGTGAACGCGAGGAGATGCGTCGAGGACCTCCCCAGTTATTCAAAAAGGACTGGCCGCAGGTGCAGGACTTTAGTGAGACTTCATGGCATGTGAATGAGATAAACAAAATCAAACATAATAAGACATAATAAAAACATAATACAACATAATCAAACACAATATAACATAATACAACATAATCAAACATAATCAAACATAATTTAACATAATACAACATAATGAAACATAATATAACATAATAAAAACATAATACAACATAATCAAACACAATATAGCATAATACAACATAATCAAACATAATTTAACATAATACAACATAATGAAACATAATATAACATAATAAAAACATAATACAACATAATCAAACATAATATAACATAATAAAAACATAATACAACATAATCAAACATAATTTAACATAATACAACATAATCAAACATAAGAAAAACATAATACAACATAATCAAACATAATATAACATAATACAACATAATCAAACATAATACAGCATAATAAAAACATAATACAACATAATCAAACCTAATAAAAACATAATACAACATAATCAAACATAAGAAAAACATAATACAACATAATCAAACACAATATAACATAATACAACATAATCAAACATAATTTAACATAATACAACATAATGAAACATAATATAGCATAATACAACATAATCAAACATAATTTAACATAATACAACATAATGAAACATAATAAAACATAATAAAAACATAATACAACATAATCAAACATAATATAACATAATAAAAACATAATACAACATAATCAAACCTAATAAAAAACATAATACAACATAATCAAACATAATGAAACATAATAAAAACATAATACAACATAATCAAACACAATATAGCATAATACAACATAATCAAACATAATTTAACATAATACAACATAATGAAACATAATATAACATAATAAAAACATAATACAACATAATCAAACATAATATAACATAATACAACATAATGAAACATAATATAACATAATAAAAACATAATACAACATAATCAAACATAATATAACATAATAAAAACATAATACAACATAATCAAACCTAATAAAAAACATAATACAACATAATCAAACATAAGAAAAACATAATAAAAACATAATACAACATAAAAAACATAATAAAAACATAATACAACATACTAAAACATAATAAAACATAATAAAACATAATAAAACATAATACAACATAATAAAAACATAATATAACATAATACAACATAATAAAACTTAATAAAAACATAATACAACAGAATAAAAACATAATAAAACCATAATAAAAACATAATAAAAACATAATAAAACATAATAAAACATAATACAACATAAGAAAACATAATAAAAACATGATACAACATAATAAAACATAATAAAAACATAATAAAAACATAATAAAAACATAATACAACATAATAAAACATAATAAAACCATAATAAAGCATAATAAAACATAATACAACATAATAAAAACATAATACAACATAATAAAACATAATATAACATAATAAAAACATAATAAAAACATAATAAAACATAATTCAGCATAATAAAACATAATAAAAACATAATAAAACATAATAAAACATAAAACATAATAAAAACATAATACAACATAATCAAACATAATCAAAACATACTACAACATAATCAAACATAATATAACAAAATACAACATAATAAAACATACTACAACATAATCAAAACATAATACAATATAATCAAACATAATAAAAACATAATACAACATAATACAACATAATAAAACATAATAAAAACATAATAAAAACATAATACAACATAATAAAAACATAATAAAAACATAATAAAAACATAATACAACATAATAAAAACATAATACAACATAATAAAACATAATAAAAAACATAATACAACATACTAAAACATAATATAACATAATATAACATAATAAAAACATAATACAACATAATCAAACATAATATAACATAATAAAAACATAATAAAACATAATACAACATAAGAAAACATAATAAAAACATAATAAAACATAATAAAACATAATACAACATAAGAAAACATAATAAAAACATAATACAACATAATAAAACATAATACAACATAACAAAAACATAATGCAACATAATACAACATAATAAAACATAATTTAACTTAATAAAAACATAATACAACATAATATAACATAATATTACATAATACAACAAAATAAAACATAATACAACATAACAAAAACATAATGCAACATAATACAACATAATAAAACATAATTTAACTTAATAAAAACATAATACAACATAATACAACATAATAAAACATAATACAACATAATAAAAACATAATATAACTTAATAAAAACATAATACAACATAATCAAACATAATATAACATAATACAAACATAATACAACATAATAAAACATAATAAAACATAATAAAAACATAATGAAACATAATAAAAACATAATACAACATAATAAAACATAATAAAACATAATAAAAACAAAATACAACATAATCAAACATAATAAAACATAATACAACATAATACAACATAATATAACATAATAAAAACATAATACAACATAATCAAACATAATATAACATAATACAACATAATATAACATAATACAACATAATACAACATAATACAACACAATCAAAAACATAATGCATCATAATCAAAAACATAATACAACATAATAAAACATAATACAACATAATACAACATAATAAAACATAATACAACATAATACAACATAATCAAAAATAAGAAAAACATAATACAACATAATCAAACATAATATACCATAAAAAAAACATAATACAACATAATAAAAACATAATACAACATAATTTAACATAATATTACATAATACAACAAAATAAAACATAATACAACATAACAAAAACATAATGCAACATAATACAACATATTAATACATAATTTAACTTAATAAAAACATAATACAACATAATCAAACTTAATATAACATAATACAACATAATAAAACATAATATAACTTAATAAAAACATAATACAACATAATCAAACATAATATAACATAATCAAACATAATTTAACATAATACAACATAATACAACATAATAAAAACATAATACAGTATAATACAGCAAAATACAGCATAATAAAAACATAATACCACATAATAAAACATAATACAACATAATCAAAAACATAATGCATCATAATCAAAAACATAATACAACATACTAAAACATAATACAACATGATACAACATAATCAAAAATAAGAAAAACATAATACAACATAATCAAACATAATATACCATAAAAAAACACATAATACTACATAATAAAACATTATAAAAACATAATACAACATAATAAAAACATAATACAACATAATATTACATAATACAACAAAATAAAACATAATACAACATAACAAAAACATAATGCAACATAATACAACATAATAAAACATAATTTAACTTAATAAAAACATAATACAACATAATCAAACTTAATATAACATAATAAAAACATAATAAAACATAATATAACTTAATAAAAACATAATACAACATAATCAAACATAATATAACATAATACAACATAATAAAACATAATAAAACATAATAAAAACATAATACAACATAATCAAACATAATAAAAACATAATACAACATAATCAAACATAATATAACATAATAAAAACATAATACAACATAATCAAACATAATAAAACATAATACAACATAATATAACATAATACAACATAATACAACATAATGAAACATAATATAACATAAGAAAACATAATAAAAACATAATACAACATAAGAAAACATAATAAAAACATAATACAACATAATCAAACCTAATAAAAAACATAATACAACATAATCAAACATAAGAAAAACATAATAAAAACATAATCAAAAACATAATCAAAAACATAATACATCATAATCAAAAACATAGTACAACATAATAAAACATAATACAACATAATACAACATAATCAAAACATCATAAACCATAAAAACCTTAATACAACATAATAACAACATAATAAAGCATAATAAAACATAATACAACATAATAAAAACATAATAAAACATAATAAAACATAATACAACATAAGAAA